GCTGCACTCAACAGTTTCTGGCGTGACAACTTAAATAAACGGCTCAAAATACATTTAGGGTGGGAAAAGTTACTGCTCAGGTGAAAATCATACTTTTCAACTGAAATGTAAGTTGCTAATCACTTTAATCTTAAAATTTCTTAGTGTTCAGCAAAAAAGCATATGCCAGTTTGTTCCTCAGTAGCAGTTTTGTTTTTTTACTTTAAACCGATCTGATATTTAGCCCTGCAAGAAAACGAGACCCATCCACATTTCAAGCCGTAATTTCGTTTCTGTCGTTCATGACTCTTCCCTCTGCAACAACTCCAGCTTTGTCAGCTGCTATGCCGACAGAATTCTTTGAATAATAAACACCTTAGAGTCTCTGAATGTCTTTTGCCAACTATGTTGCAGCATTTCGACTCAAATAATGCGGCGTTGCAGACATCTCAAGAAATTGCGTGATAAATACATCCTTTTCCAAATTTTTCTAGTTAGTGTTTTTTTTGCGACCACCGGTTAATATACTTTTCCATTTTTTTCAGTAGCCAATAAGCACTGTCTGAAGTTGTCAGTGACACACATGCTTGTTCTGAGAATGGCCAACTTAATGCCAATAATGTCAGCGGTCAGTTATAATAACGACTAACGACTACCATCTTCGTTTTCCTTGCCTAACGAACTACTGAAGTAGCACTTTACCGGTGTTAAATATTCGCTTGTTGTTGGCGCAGGACGATATTGAGGCCTACAACTAATGGTACCGCCAACATATCGACTAAGCAACATTAACTATTCCCACAACTAACAACTGCCATGACTCTATGACTAGGCATATTACACATATTACATACTAATTGCTCTAATAATCATTAAGATGTCTTTTCAGAAAATACTGACACCAACGACACATGTTGACTTGGTTTGTAAAGAAGCTAACTGATTTTGCTTGTTGCTTAAGTGGATCTCAGCGAATGCATGAACAATTTAGGACATTTGCTGTTGCTTATATAATTAAATATTCTGGTATCACTCAAATACGATTCTTTTATCATCGAAAGAGAATATTTCAGAATAGCATATTCAAAAATGTGTTTAGTGCTGCTGCTGAGAAACAGCATTCCAAGTTGTCCATTCGACGAAGGAAAGATTCCGGGAAGGCCGGATCACTGAAAGCGCTTGTGGACAATGTTGAAGAGCTAGATTTGGAAGGCGAGCACTTTATTATAATTTGGATATAACTAGCATGATGTGATTTTCTTGACTCTCTCCCATTAGACATTTTAATGCTAAACAGTAGTATAACCGTTTATGGCTAAGTTATCTCTTGCTTGGAGGGTTCATCGGACAGTTTACTCAGAATCCTCATATTTCGACATTGCATTTAAAGTGTATTTATTTACGCTGAGGAAGTTCAGTACCATTTGGTTGAAAGTAGCTTACGTGACATCAGTACTACTTATTATTCATTGTTTAGAGGGTAGGTGGCATGATGCATGATCTCGTGCCGTATATCTCTCTGTTATGTAAGATTTAGATATTATGTGGGTCTCTGACGTTTGGGGTCAGCAGTTTGAGCGCAACCCATTCGGCGCATCATTGATTAGTATCTGGGCTCAGTCCTACGGTCGCCACGTTCAATCTGTAAAACTGGACAGTGGTCAGCTGTATCATCTGCGTGATTCAGCCTATCACGTTATATATCAACGAGTAGCTACCTGTGACTGAAGTACGATGCTGTTGCTAAACTGAGAATTTCGATGATTCTCATTTTATTATATGATTCCAAAGTGATGACTGTGTGTGGTTGCAAGTCAGTGCACAGTCACTTGATCGGGTGTCAGAGTTTATATTTAAATCGTACCCTGACACACAATACATCGTGCAGAGGTCACAATTAAATTTTAATGAGAATTATACTACTTTGATAACGGCACCCTAACTTACTCACAGATAAGGCTCTATGGCACAGTTGTTGGAGTTGACCACTGTCCAGTTGTACAGATTCGATGCAGGGACCTTCGTTATGATCGAGCGCTATTATCAGCCAATGATCTGCGACAAAACGCCCCATATTTTCCATTAAACAAAGATTTTTTCATGTGGCTCTAAACATATTTTGCAATTTATTGTTTCAAGATTCTGACAGAAATCTTTACATCCAAATTCGTCAAAGAAATCCCTCTACGGACTCCCATCGTTCTCGAATCAGTCAACTCAAAAATCAGACGGCAGGCATAATCAAGGGCGGCTTAGAGGGAATCAAACGGCCGTTGTCAGGTCTGATGCGACGATCTTCCAGTCGTTCTTCAAGTCGCGAGGGTAAGAAGAAGCCTCACGATGATCTTAAGACTGGAAATGCGTCCTCAGACATGGACGAAATAACACTGGGAGCGGAAAGTAAAACGAATCCATTACTTTTACTACTATGTAAAATGATTACTGACCTTTCAGCAGCGGTGGCAATGGAGAAACTCAAACAGCTTTCTTATACCCGTCCGTTCCTCGCCAGTCGTCCATCGAGTCCCGTTTCCCAGACAGCTGGACCAAGCGAAGTTGCAACCGTGAAAATGAAAGAAGCCGAAAACACGAGTATTGATGTTGCAAATCTACGTTTGTCGACTTCTGAAGAACTTGCCCATGTAAGTGACGTTCCTTATGATTTTGGTTGCCTTATGTTATCGTTTAGACCGGTGTTTTTACCGGAGAGCCAGAATCGTTGTCAGAGTCTAATAACGATACTCAAAGCAACGTGGTAGCAAATGGAGAAGAGGTCAACGTTTCAAAGATACCGGGCTTTTTAATGTTAGATGACATTGGTAAGCATGGTTCGCGTTTTGTTATATTCTGTCCATTGAATATTGTATTGAAAGTGAGAAGGTTAAGCCATACGGTGATTCACTGAGTAGCGTCTCTTATGATTCATCCATAGGACAGAGACATGGCGCTATTTCTAATTGACAGAAACACAGAGCTGCATTTCATAGTTCACGAAGACAATTATAATTACAAAAAATAGCGAGTTACGTCAATCCCTCGTTGACTCCTTCGTTAACGGATTCGCTGTAGTGCAACGGTAATGCCTTCGCAGCCATGGTAATGACTGATAGAGAGCCTCATAATAGTTCTGATATAGAATATCATATTTTGTCGACAAATTAGTGGCCGGGCGAAGGATGAGGTATTTATTTCCAGTGTAATCGATAACAGCCGCGTTTTCCAATTTACCGCGTGACTGTTTCCAGTGTTCTGGCTGCAGCACCGTCTACCGTGCTTGTGTGTTAATAGAAGAAAACCACTTTCATCACCACAAGTCCGTCTTCGTCGATTTGCTCAAGCTTGTAGCCATTTAATACGGTTACAAATTGATTTGCAAGGTCAGATCGTCAAATTTGGTCAAATGTTGGTCCTGGATGGATCAAGCTAGGAAATTTGTTGACAACGCGTC